GACCAATTCTGAGAAGAGGGTCCCGGACAGTTATGGCCGGCATCTGCCTCAGTGACTCTCAGAATGGGTTCATTCTCGGCATCTGCCAGTGATGGGGCAGTGTGTGTGGAAGATGCTTTCCTTTCTTAGAAGCCAGGCATGGTGGTGCATGTCTGCAGTCCTTGGAAGGCAGAGGCAGGAGGATTGCTGTGAGTTTGAGGTCATCCTGGGCTAGTGTGAGATGCAGTCTCTACAAGGAAAAGGCCGTAAATGAGAAGTAATGTATTATTTATCAGAGAGGATTTTTCAGGTGATTTTACAAAATAACTTGATCTTAAAAGTGGCTTTAATAAACACTGCGGTGGGACAAAGGCTGTCTCCTTCTTCTCTGGTGATGTCTGAGCGCTTGCATTCTGAGCAGGGCCCGGGGACACTGGGGTAGGTAGGGCTGTGAAGGAGCTGGCCTTCCCCAGTGCAGAGGGAGCGAAGGAGGAAGAAATGGTGAGCAGGTGGACAGAAAGGCAGAGGTACAAGTGCTAGAAGAGGCTGCCAGGTGGGAGGAGGAGAGAGGAGGTGGGAGGAGGTGGGAGGAGGAGGGAGGAGGTGGGAGGAGGTGGGAGCAGGTGGGAGCAGGTGGGAGCAGGTGGACAGGAAGGCAGAGGCACAAGTGCTAGAAGAGGCTGCCAGGTGGGAGGAGGAGAGAGGAGGTGGGAGGAGGTGGGGGGAGGAGGGAGGAGGTGGGAGCAGGTGGGAGCGGTGGGAGCAGGTGGACAGGAAGGCAGAGGCACAAGTGCTAGAAGAGGCTGCCAGGTGGGAGGAGGTGGGGGAGGAGGAGGGGGGAGGTGGGAGGAGGTGAGAGGAGGAGGGAGGAAGTAGGAGGAGGTGGGGGGAGGAGGGAGGAGGAGGGAGGAGGTGGGAGGAGGAGGGAGGAGGTGGGGGGAGGAGGGAGGAGGTGGGAGGAGGAGGGAGGAGGTGGGGGGAGGAGGGAGGAGGGTGAGAGGAGGAGGGAGGAGGTGGGAGGAGGTGGGAGGAGGTGGGAGCAGGTGGGAGGAGGTGGAAGGAGGTGGGAGGAGGTGGGGGGAGGAGGGAGGAGGTGGAAGGAGGTGGGAGGAGGTGGGGGGAGGTTGGGGGAGGTGGGAGGAGGTGAGGTGGGAGGAGGAGGTGGGAGGAGGAGGGAGGAGGTGGGCAGCCAGCAGCAGGGCTGAAGGTCTGCGCCTGGGAGAGGGGGCTTCCCAACAGAAAGAAGCAAGGAGCAAGTGCAGAGGCCGCGTTCAGCCAGGGTGGCTGGAGAGGAGGACAGCAGGCATTCAGGTTAGAGGGGAGCGGGCCAATCAGATAGGATCTTACAGACTGTGGTGGGAATGTGGGCTTCACTTCTCCGTTTTTTTGTTTTTTGTTTTTTGACTTTATTTAACTTTGATTTTATGTGCATTGGTGTGAAGGTGTCAGATCCTCTGGAAATGGAGTTACAGGCGGTTGTGAGCTACCACGTGGGTACTGGGAATTGAACCCAGGTCCTCTGGAAGAACAGCCAGTGCTATTAATGACTGAGCCATCTCTCCAGCCTTTTATTTATTTATTTATTTTTTATTTTACAGGATGATGCAAATTTCACCCCCCCCCTTTTTTTATCTTTTTGGTCTATTGCATCTGTACTTGTCAAGGCTGTTTGACTTATATGTAACAGAAAATAACATTGCCTAAATGACTTGAGTCAACAGGAATTAATTTTTCCACAATGAGAAGTCAGAGGGTGAGGGCTCCAGCAGCTGACGTAGGGCCTGGATAGAGTAGGGACTTTGCCAGTGCTCATGGTAGGTGATCCTGGCAGTGTGACTATTACACCTGTGTTCAGGGGGAGACCGTGGGATGGGTTGGAGAGACATGGCTCTCCCTTCTACCAGGCGATCAACAGTGCTCCACCAGCCCCTGCTGACTTCTAGGCCATATTGGCCATTTCTTGGTCACAAAGTATGGCCCCAGCTGCAAGGGGTGCTGGGAAAGTAGGGAACAGGGCCCGCTTCAGGATTTCTCAAGCTTAGGCCTTGCAGCGTTTTGAGTCAAATAGCTTTGCTGGGAAACTGTTCTTTACACCAGCCTGGCTTCTGTCCACTAGCTACCAGGCCGTGGCTCTCACTGGGACAACCAAAACTACCTTCAGGGATTCCCAGAAGGGCACATCAGATAGGGAAACACTGGTTCGAGCAACCAGGATTTATCCTCCAGGATGAGCAGATGGCTACCCTGAACAAAGTTGGTTATTTATTAGTTAGTGTCACTGAGGATCTAATCACCGCCTCATAAATAATAGGCAAACACTTTCACTGAGCTAAGTCCTAGCCCTTATTATTTTGGTTTGAAGTGATGTCTTACAAAGTTGTCCAGGCTAATCCAAACTTGCTTTGTAACCCAGACAAGCCTTGAACTTGTGACTGTCTTTCCTCAGCCTCTCAAGGAGCTGGCCTGCACTACCAGGTCTGACTTTCTTTTTCACTCGGTAGCCAGTGCTAGCCTCAGACTCACCATTTTCCTGCCTCGGCCTCCCAAGTGCTGGGGTTAGGGGCATACACAACCACACCCGGCTAAAATAAGCTGTCTCTTGGCAAGAAAGTGGGAGTGCCGAAGAATAGTGCCTCTGAGAGGGCTGCTTGTCAGAATTAAGCTCAGCCAAGATCCCAAGTGTGAAGCTTTACTTGTTGCTGGGGTCTCTCAGAGAGTCCCACCACAGTCTTGGGAGGCATAGGCTGGTATCTGCAGTCTAGAGAGGTTTGGGGACTTCCCAGGCCAATCAACTGCCTGTGGCAAGCTAGAGTTTAGAGTAAGCCTGGTGACCATAGTATCTACATTCTTAACCCAATGCCAGGCTGCCTTCTTCGGGCACCATGTGGGAGGTGCATGACCCAGGTGACACATGCTCTGTGAGGCATGTGGCCTGGGAGGCACACAGTGTGGGGACACTTAATCCCAGCAGGTCAGCCTGCTTGTGCCACCCTGTGGAGTGGTGCACCACACCCATGAGGCCACCAGGGCTAGCACCTCACTGAGACTCTCCTTATACCTTGGGAACTAGTTTGGCTGGCGTGGACAACAGTATCAGCTGTGACCTTGCCCTAAGAAAAATACTTTGCTTTCTCATGGGTCGGTCACGGACTGTTCCTGGCAGGAGTCAAGTCTGGAAGTGTGGAAGGTCACAGGTACTGCTGGTATCGCACACTTGTGGTGACTGGAGCCCATGAGAAGCCTTAGGCCTTAGAAGGATGGCCTGGGGCTGGATTCAAGACTTTACAGCCTCCCAGCTGTGTGATCTTTGGAAAGTCACTCCCTCTTTGTGCCAGATCCTAGGGCCCCGTGATGGTTCCCAGCTCTTACTCAGACCACCTGAAGAGCCATTGCGATATAGTGGGAGCGATGACATGGCAAGTTCATGTTCATTGTTCATCATAGTCTCCAGCTTCTTAACCTAGCTTCCTTTTGGAGATGAAGTGGAAATCCTACACTGTCTTGGGTGATTTGAGTGTGACCAACCCGTTCCCAGTGCTAAAAAGGCTCTGGAAGAATAGAACAATATTCTTCTAGACCAGGCACAGGGTGGCTGGGCAGCCGGGTCAGAGCTACCTTAATGATGGGGCCACTGAAGCCATCATCCTGGAGCCTGACCCTACCTTCCCCTGAGAGTGAGGATTCCTGGTTCCTGGCTTGCACATCTGCAGATGGCTGCAAAGTGTCTAAGCAGAACCTCTTCTGGAGTCAGTGGCTTCCCTCCCTCCACAGATTCTCCCAGGATAGCTGGTTGGTATCTTCCATCCCCAGTCACAGCCTGGCCTGTATGAGACACTGTCTCAAAAAAACAAGGGCCGGAGAGATGGCTCAGCATTTAAAAGCACTGAATGCTCTTCCAGATGACCTGGGTTTGATCCCTAGCACAATATGGCCACTCACAACCGTCCATATCTGTAGTTCCAGAGGGATCCGATGCCTTCTGGCCTCTAAGGGTACTACATATGCATGGCACACAGACTTATACACAGCCGAAACACTCATACACATGAAATAAACACCCCACCCCCAATCCTAATAAGCAGGTTTATTTAGCTCAAGGTTCTGAAGGTTGGTAAATCTGAGACCGAGGGGTCAGCATTCAGATGTCATGACTTGACAGAAGCAGCCTGTGGTGAGGCTCAGCTTTCTGTCCCTTATGAAGGCACTGATGCAGCTCCTCGAGGTGGCTCAGGAGGCAGAGATGTGTGCTGCACACCATATGGTGGAAGGAGAGGACTGACTGTCGCGAGTTAGCCTCTGACCTCCACGAGAGTTCCATGCTGTACTCGGTGTGACACGCTCGTGTACACACACAAATGCAAATAAAAAATAAAAACCAGCAGTGCACACTCTGATAACTTCAACCCCAGTTACCACCCAATTGTGACAGCTCCAGATGCCGTCAACAGAGTACTTGCTGGGTCTTTTGTTCCTTTGCTTTGGTACTGGGAGTGGGCCTCCTGTGTGTTGGGCAAGCTCTACCACAGAGCTACATTCCCAACTCAGCAGATGACAGGCACATTAATTTTCAATATGAATTTCAGAGGAGCTTTTCAAGCATGGCAGTTACTTCCTAGAATAGTGATTATGAGTGTCTTTGCACCTCCAGCCTTAATTTACTTTCCTGCTAAATGGGATATTATGAGCAAGTGTGGTGGCTCAGGCCATTAGTCCCAACACTCAGGAGGCGGAGAAAGGCAGATTTCCCTATAGTTCACATAGGGAGTTCTAGGCCAGCCAAGGCTACATAGTGAGACCCTGACTCAAAATAAACAAAAATAAATAAATAAATAAATAAATAAATAAATAAATAAATAAATAATAACCTTTAATCCCAGCACTCGGGAGGCAGAGCCAGGCGGATCTCTGTGAGTTCGAGGCCAGCCTGGGCTACCAAGTGAGTTCCAGGAAAGGCGCAAAGCTACACAGAGAAACCCTGTCTCGAAAAACCAAAAATAAATAAATAAATAAATAAACAAACAAACAAATAAATAAATAAATAAGCTGGCATATTTACTGCTCCCAGGTTATAAGGGTGGAGTGAAATGAGAGTTATATAGTACTCAGCATGAGGGCCAGGGAGATGCTTCATTCAGTAAAGTGTTTGCCACATGAGCATGAGAACTTGAGTTCAGATCCCCAGCACCCACATCAAAACAAAACAAGACAACAACAAAACCCCAGGCATGGTGGCCTGGGTCTGTAACTATAGCTGTCACTAGGTTGGAGACAGGAAACAAGGTTGGAGATCCCTGGGACTCATTGGCTGGCCAGCCTCGCCGGTCTGTGAGCGCCAGGTTTAGTGAGATGCTCTATCTCAAAAAGCTAAGGTGAGTGCAATCAAGGGAGAGACCTGACCTTGACTCTGGGCTTTCCTATGGATGTGCACTGGCATGCACATGTGTACACACCACACGTATGTGCACACACACCACACACACAATACTACTATTAAAATGGTAGCGTGCTCAGCCTGGGGTCTGGCACATGGTGGTAAGTACTTGATGTACCATAGTCGTTGCTTAGTGATGACAATAAATGGTGATGGTGAGTGTGTCGGGGCCTTGACACAATAAAGCTGAGGTTACCACCAAGTGACTCCAGTCTGCACCTAGCTGGGCCCTGAACCAGGAGACCCAGTGTCCCCCATACAGCCTTTAGCTTGACCCAGGTGGGCACTGCCTTCCTCCACAGGTGTGGCAGTGGGCCTTGATGGCAGGCCAAGGAGCCCCCCTGATCTCCACCCACCAGGCTCTGTAGCCAGAGCTCCTTCCTCACTGGGACTTGGCAGGTGGCAACGGGGCTCTGCCAGGTTCAGCCACCTGCACCAGCCAGCAGCACCTTGCCTTGCACCTCCTCTGAGGAGTCATCAGAGTTGCCGTATTTAACAGCAAAGGATCCAGGCCATTCACCTAAGTTTGAATGCAAAAGAAACAAATGACTTATTCATATAATACATCCCAACTATTGTATGGGTGTAATTACACTACAAAACTTATTTGTGGGCTCCCCAAAATTGGTTTAACTAAGTGGCCTGAGTTTTATCTGGCACCCCTAGGCACCAGGCCCCCACCCGCCTCAGACTATGATCTGCTGGGTGCTATGGTGGCTTAAGGTCTGGGCACATAGAATTGGGTCTTCCAAGCTGAGCAGTTTATCCAGCTCATTGACCATGCTGATTGGCTGAGAGATAGGGATATGACTCAGTCAGGGACCAGTGAGTATCAGCCTGGAGTGGGTATTAAGAGAGACCTCCAGAGGCCCCCAGAAGCAGAGACTGAATTACTTGGGATGCTTGAGAGCATTTATTTGTTTTGTGTGTTTGTTTGGTTTGGTTTCTTGAGATAGTCTCACTATGTAGTCCAAGCTGGTCTTGAACTCAGATCTCCCTGCCTTAGCCTTCCAAGTGCCTGGATTGCAGGCATCTGCCCTCCATCCCCATGACTGGTTTGAGTCTGTGCACCCTAAAGAAATAGACTGGGTGGCACTGCAGAGGCCCTCCGACAGATGCTTTGGGGACAACTTGGAAGGAAGTGCACGATTCCCAAGCTAGAGCTGCCCCTGTCCTGCCTAAAAGCTCTTGGCTCCCAAGGCAGCATGCTTGCCCTTTCCACACCCCAGACACACTCCAGGACACCCCAGCTACCTACTGGGATAAAGGACAAATCTCCACTCCGTGTTTTCTGTCTTTATTTTCTAAACAAAGCATGTGCTCCCCTGACAAGCCTTACTACCCGATGATCCCTCCCCATGATCTGTAGCACCCTCCCACCCCCCTCACCCCAGCCTGGTCTTTTAACAGGACGACCAGTGCCGACTAGGGCAGGGTCACTGATCTGGAGGACAGAGGTGGTGACACACATGGAGGAAGTGGCCTACCCCCAGGAGAGGGACTCCAGGGCTGTCTGGAACCTGTCTACTAGGTCAAAAGGCAACACAGAGCAAAGACTGTGGGAAGTGTGGGCAGAAGGCAGGCAAGCTTACAACTCCAGTATACTGGTACCAGCATCTCGATCATCTGGAGCCCTCAGCCTGGGGCTGACCAGTTACCATGGGCTGATCTAGAGGGACATGGGCTCTGGCATGGGCACTTGTGTTCCTGGCTCTTTGGATGAGGCCTAATAAAACGAGGCACTGGCAATGGTTGTGACTTTTCAGTTTCAAGTTCACCAGCTGCTGGGCGGGTGGGGCCTAAATGGCCTCAACTTCGCTGTCCGACTCCATGGTGTCCAGCGGCTGCAGCCTCAGGGAGTCGTAGTTAGGGGGTGGGGTTCCCGGAATAGGCAGAGTCTGCTGGTCAGGGTAGACCTCAGCATGGGGACTGTGGCTGGTTGTGTCAGGCTGGAAGCCAAAGTTGGTGTGGGCCTCCACCAGCTCAGCCACGGTGGGTGGCGGGCCAGTGTACGGTGCCCGTGGCCGCTTCCTGCGCAGGCCTTTGCAGAAGACCACCAGCTTGATGATGGTGATCCAAATGAAGTCGATAATGATCTCCCCCAAACTCAATGAGGCACAGCACTGAGCCCCCCATCCAGAAGCCAAACTGGCCCCCTAGGTTAGAGAGCAGCCACACAATCTGTAGGAAACAGGGAAATGAAGGCTCAGGTCTGTCCAGGTTTAGGGGCCCTAATACCCACCTAGGGACTCGGGGATCCGTGAGACAGGCACCCACACACTCACATTGTTGGCTGGCGATTCCTCAATGGTGCGGTAGTTGAACTCTTGGAAGTAGATGTTGAGCTTGACAACACCCTTCCTACAGGAGGCAGCAAGGCAGGCTGGGACCATGGCCTGTGCTCCCTCCCAGGATGGGTGCACACATGTGTCCCATGGGAAGGGCACTTCAAGGCACCCTGCCCACCTCCAGCCTGAGTTGCTGTCTGGAGTGGGAAGACCCAAACCAGACCTGGAAGTACTGCTCCCTCCCACTTGTTCTGGGCCTCAGAGCCACAAAGGACATCTGTGCCAGCACCTGTCCTGTGGACTTCTTTTTCATCCCCATGTCTGCCATTTTCCTAAAGGGTCTTCTGGCCTGAGAGGGTCCCAAAAGTCACTCTGAAGCTCCTCTCTGGGCCTAGGGTAGCCCAGGCCATATGCCACATATCCAAAAAGTATGGCTGCCTCAAGCAGGGTGATCAGGGACTGAGAGGGTGACAGAGGAGTGGTTCCCCATTTCATTGGGGATCTCTGGAAAGACTGGGCTGTCTCATTTCTCCAGGTCTTTCCCAAACTGTGCCCCCCAACCCCCCGCCACTGCGTCCCTGGGTATCTTGGCCTCTTCTTGACTGGGAGCGGCTCCTACTTCTCAAATATCACCTGTTCACAGACCTCCCTGTCTCTCAGGCACACTGAGGCTTCTCCCTGTTCCTAAAGGATAGGGGGGCTCATGCAAGACACTCCTGGCTGGAAGCCCTTCTTGCATCTCAGCTCCTTTCCTGCACTCAGAGTGTTTGTGTTGAATGGACGGAGACATGGATGGAGGGAAGGTGGGTGGGTGGATAGATGAGGAAACACAGAAGGATGGGAGTTAGCAAGACAACTCAGCATGTAAATTGCTTGCCACACAAGCCTGATGGCCTGAGTCAATCTCAGGAACCCACGTAAGGGTGGAAGGAGAGAAACGACTCCACACAGTTGTCTTCTGACCTTCACATGCACACTATGGCATGTGTGTCCTACACACATACACACCACACACAGGATAATTTTTTTTTTTTTTAAGAATGGAGGATGTGGTGATGGAGAGGTGCTGACATGTGGAAAACCGGCCCTTCCGTTAGACACTGGCCCTCAGCTGCCTTTCTTCCCTCTTCCTCCTCTAGCCTTGCACTGGATTTTAACAGCAAAAGGAATTTGGGATGCTGTTCCACATGCAAACCCTGCCCCGGGCGCTGGTTCCTCCCTTTTCTGCCTTTGCTGGCCCTGGCCACATTCCATCCTCACCTGCTCACGGTGATGTTTGCACTCTGGTCCCGCTCCTGAGACAGGACATGGAAGATCCAATCCTAGAACCCAAGAAGGCAGCTGAAAGAAAGGGACACACACACACACACACACACACACACACACACACACACACACACACACACAGCAGCCCCAAACCTTCCAGAAGTCTGAGCCTTGAGTTGAGAGCAGAGGAACTCACAGATGCCTGGCTATCATCAGAGGAGGAGCTCAGCTCTCTAGATGCCCTGTCCCCAGGCGGGAATTGTCTCAGCCTCATTCCCGTCTCTGGCCATGACACTTGCTGTTCTTTCTGCTCAGAATCCTTCCTGCCCTTCTGGGCCAGCTCTGCCTCTGGCCGTGGCTCTCTCGCACCTCCGCACCTCTGTAGAGAGACCTTCCCTGACCTGCCGTCCAAGCGCTTTCTCTTGCTGTCCACTCCCGTTGTTTCTATCCTTCCCAGGCGTGACTTCGAAATGATCTCTCTGTGTATATGTCTCTCACTGACTGGGCTGTGGACTCGGTAGAGGGAAGACTCTGCTGTCCCTGGCCTAGTGCCTGGGAGAGTGTGGGTGGAGTGGAAAGAAGGGGAGACAGAAGGAGGAAGGGATGTAGAAATGGATGGAGGGGAGAGGGAAAGAAAGATGGAGGGGGAAAGCGAGAAAAGACTCTAAAGTCCCAGGCTTGTTCTCAACCCAAAGAGAGAGGAGAAGAGGATCTTGGTCTTCTGCCTTCTCACCTCAGAGGCCTCGGAAGGCCAGTCAGCCATGGAGATGGTCATCTTGTACTGGGTGTCACTGGAATAGAGAAGCCAGCCCTGTTGCTGTGCCCGATCGCTCTGCGCCCACCTCGCCAGCGCCGGCAGTCCCCTGTGCCACACTCACTTGCAGGACTCCTTGCACATGCTGAGGCATGTCTCTCTCTGGGCCACACTCATCTGTAGGCTTAGGTAGCAGTAGGCTTCATGGGAGAGAGAGAGAGGCAGTCAGGAGCCAGGAGGGCTGCTTCCGGGGCCCTAACCCCCCCCCCCCCCAGGGAGCCTCTGCTCTCCTCCTATGTCACCTAAGGGGGACTCAGGCCAAGCCCCCTGTCACTAAGATCATTGCCCCACACCTCACATGGGTTCCTTCCTGCCCCTAAACATTCAAGATGCAGCTCAGCAGGTCAGAGTGTCTTCTCCTTTGTCCCTCCTCATCCTTACCCAGAAGATGGCTTCTGGGGTCGTGTACAGAAGGATGAGCAATCAATAATGAACAGATAAATAAATGTATGCTTTCCTCATTTGTATATTGATTGTGGGACCCACATCCCTGGACTGACTCCAGTCCCCCAGCGCCCTCAGTCCCAGGCTCCATCTGTGAAGGAACCCATTGAGGGTTTGTCCTGTGATGCTGGCTTTATGTGAACCCCGAAAGTCACCATCACAAGAGCAGCTTCTTCAGTGTCCCCCTCCAGCCCAGTTCCCTTCATGCATGGATGCACATGCCGAGGATGGATTCATGGCTTTGTGTGTACACACACACACACACACACACACACACACACACACACACACACACACGCAGACACTGGAAGCAAGGTGCCTGCTCATGGGCACACACAGGTACTGCAGTGACGTGGTGTTCTGTGCATGAAGACACAGCCATACCTTTCCTATGTGCACCTGAAGGTGAATATATACATGCTGCACACTCTCCAGCAGCCCTGTTCCCTGGCTCATGCGTGTGCAGGGATGTACACAGCACACACATGCCTGGAGGGATAGTTCATCCCCACACCTGTGTGTCTCAAGCATGTACTTCACAGAATCAAGATGGGGGGAAGGAAGGTTCTTTTGGAAAGGGGGCTGGGGAGGGGCCCCCTTAGCGAGGGGATTGTGCTGCACTCACCCCAGTCTGGGAAGTCTCTGTTGTTGCAGTATTTCTCCCCAGCAGGTAGTGGGTACAAGTAGTGGCCGCAGCTGCAGTTATGGACCATGTGGTCTTGGAAACAGGAGTGAAGACAGGCCTGGGGGTGCAGAACAGATCTCAGGCATGGTGGGATGGTCCCACTCCAGTACCAGAAAGAGGGACCCCAGAGAAGTTGCTGCCAGGGGACTAGACCACTCTGAGGTGTGGTCTTCTGGCTAAGAACCTGTGGTGATCAGGAAGAGCTGCAGCTGCAGGCCCTGCAGTCAGGCCACAGCTGTTCTTGCACATTGGACCCCACGGCAGCTTCTTGGTTGGGCCCTGCACAGGGACTCAGGCCAGATCCCAGCAGCCCCCGTCTCTCCACCCAAAGCTGGGTCCTGTAGATGGCATGGGCATAGCGTGGCCTGCCTCAAATAAACTAGTAACAGCTCCTCCAGTGAAGTGCCAGCACCCTCCTGAGCTCTGTGCACACAGAGACCCAGAAAGACTGCAGGCAAGCTGGCTCAGATCTGCTTTCTTATGGGGGAAGAGGTGGGATCCCCAAGGGAGGCAGAGGGGTGATCTTTAATGAATCAGAGCTGAGGGGAGGTGGAGTAGAGGAGCCACAAGAGTCCCCAGCCCTGAGAACTAGGTGTAGTGAGGACACTTTCAAGGCCCCAGTGTCCATGATGTTTAGGTCATTTTGACCTGGTTCCAGTCCACTCACAGACCAGCTATATGTCCTGAAGCAAGTGATTAACTTGTGAGCCTCAGTTTACTCATGGAGAAACAGGATACTCGTCATACCTGCCTTCCAAGGTTGGAGGACTCAGCTCAGTGTCAGGCGCATGGTAAGCAATTATGTCCGCTCCTTCCCTCCTGTGCATGTCCTAAGTGTTGACTACTATGGCCTCCTACCTCCAACTCATGCCCGCTCCTCATGCCTCTGCCCACTCCCTCCTTCTCTGCCCACTCTCCTTTAGACCAATGCATCGGACTTCTCCCAGAGGGACCACCAAGATTCCCACTGGCAGGAGGTGTGGTCAACCTTGGGTGAGAACCCAGAACTCTGGTCTTTTGCAGCACCATGGTCCCCTGTGCTACTGACAAAGATCCAGCCAGGTCTGCCTGGCGCTGCATGCCTGTAATCCCACTACTGAAAAGGCTGAGGAAGGGGGATTGTGAATTTCAGGCCAGCCTGGGCTACATAGAGTAGCCCTATCTCAGATAAGTAAGTAAATAAGAAATAAAAGATTTGGCAAAGCCAGCCCAGCCCTCGCAAAGAGCTGAGGTAAAGGGGACAGGACCCCCCACGGTCACCAAATCTGTGGAGCCTTCCCACCTGGATGGAGTACGTGGTGTTGTAGTCACTGTAGAGGTTCTGAATGGCGACATCGGAACCATTCATGGTGCAAGGACTGTAGGGCTCCCCCTTGCGCTGCAGCTTGTCCTGTGGAGAGAGGTGGCTCATGGAGACCCCTGGTAGCCTCTTCTGTATGTGTTTCCCGCGGAGCCATAGGGATACTGCAAAGGGATGGGGAGTTGCAGGTCCCAGAAGGTGCCAGAGGGGGCGCCAGAGGACTCAGCGTGTCTAGGGCATTGCCAAAGACTGAGGTTGGCCCTGAGGCAAAGGTGTGCCGGGGTCGTGAATGCTACTTTCAGGATGTGGGAGGACATGCCCTCAGCCCTCTCCACTCAGGCTGCCTGGGGGCCCCCGGCTGTACCACCAGCACCCCGATGGACGTCTCGGTTCCCGCCATAGCGTAGATGCCCTCTTCTCTGATGAAGGGGTACGTCCTCTGCTCATGCAGCATCAGCCTGGCCCCTGCTGTGGACGCAAGGAAGGGGACGTAGTCCTCCTGGCCGATGTCCAGGGTCAACTTGAGACCTATGAGGGAAAGATAGCGAGGGCGGTTGAGCTTGGACATCCCCCAGACGGAAGGGAGACCCGCCACCCAAGTGTTCAAGCCTCATTCAGCCAAGGGGCCCATAATCTCCTCCTGGGCTCTCATCTACACAGCACGCCCTGCCCGCCCACGGTGCTCAGCCCATTCCATCCCACACAGCACGTGACCTCATCCTCCCCATTCAGTCCTTTCCTGTTACGCCTCTGAAGACGCTTTTCCCTCGCTCTGGAATGCCGTTCCCGCCCTCTCCTTTCTTCTGGAACATTCCACTCTTTCTCCAGGCTGCAGTCAGTATCACTTCCTCTAGCAGCTTTCCTGTTTGTTCAAAGTCATCTGTGTGCCCTCTCCTAGCTCTGGAACGTTCCTTCCCAAGACCCGCCTCACTCCTGTTCTCACTGTCAGAGTTCTTCCCAGCTGGGCTGCCTGGTTCGGAGGCAAAAGCTTGCTCCCAGCCCTGAGCTTGGGGCACTGGGGTGACCATCCCTGTCTGAGATAGCCAGAGCCATCACTCACTTAGCATTTGCTACATATTATGTGCTAGTGAGGTGCTCATTTAAGATAGGATCTGGCTAAGTAGCCCAGGCTGGCCTCAAACTGGTGATCTTCCCATCTCAGCCTCTTGATTGCTGAGATCACAGGTTTATGACATATTGCCTGGCTAAAAGGTGCTTTACTACAAAATATCCGATTGGATGCTCACAAAAATCTCATGAGGTACTATAATTATCCCCATTTTACAGGTAAGCAAACTGATGCACAAAGGAATAAAGGGACCTCTCTAAGGTCACACTGGGAGGAAGTGCGTTTTCTGGGTTCTAACCAGGCTCATTGGCTACTTATTGTAATTGTGTGTCTCTCAAGCGAGTAGTCCAGCAGTCTGTTGACTGTTTTCATTAACAAGGGCTGGGTTAAGGTAGTCAGCTCCGTGGCCTCCTCTCGGCCAGTAACTCTGATGGTCAAGGAAGGCCATCTTGCCTTTTGATGGTTAGCAGTGTCACAGCCTGAGACTGTGTGCCACACCCCCAAACGTGGGTGTTCGGGTTTGTCAAAGCCTCTCCAAGATCTCACTTTGGAGCTGAGGCTGATCTTAAACTCGTGACCACTTCAGCCCAGGGTTGGATTTACAGGTGTATCCCACAACAGGCAGCGTCCACCAGCCTTCCTTTAGAGGACAGGGCAGTGGAATGGGGATCCGCCATCAGCCATGTTCCTCTGCCCCTCCACTCTTTGCTCTTTCCTGCTGTTGGGCTCCTCTGTCCTGTCAGCACCTTGGACCAAATGTGTAGAAACGTCTCAGCATGCCGCAATCATGATGAACAGGCCTGATTTCCTGATCAGATGAGGTGACTTCTTAACACAAAGATGCAGTGACTCAGGAGCTGAATATTGTTGTGGGCTATTCTAAGCTACCATGTACTGTACTCTTAAAGAAGAAACTGAGGACTTGAAAACCTACTACAGCCATGAGCTCTGTGGTTTCTGAAACATCATGGTATTCAACAACAAAATGGGAATACGAGCCTAGACCCCAGCCTCATCCTAACACTAACATTAACCTTAACCTAACTCCAGCTTTAACCTAACCATAACCCTAGCCCTAACCTTAACTAGACATCACCTAACCCTAACCTTACCCTAATCATAACCCTAACGCTAATATAACCGTAACCCTAACCTAACCCCTAAAACTAACCCTAATCCTAACCCCTAACCCTAACCCTTACCCTGGGCAGACCCCCTGCCCCCCGGGCACTATTCTGGTCTGTCGAAGAAGGGAGTGGGCCACTGTCACCTTTCAAACATTACAGAGAGGCAGCGTCTCTTGGTGTCTCCTTGCAAACAAAAACTCACCGAATTCAGTCCCAGGGTTGGCAGAAGGAAGTGCCTTCTCTGTCATGCCCCAGTTGAAGATGTAGCAGTTGCCATAATCAGGGTAGAAGATAGGTGTGAAGTTCCTGAAATAAACAGGATAGGTTGGAGGGCTGGAAGCTTCCCCTGGGCAGAGGGCTCCCCCAAGAGAGCTGTTATGCTCTGCGGAAGAGGGGAGTGGACCGCTGCTGCCCGCCTTTCAAACACTTCAGAGAGGGAGGCAGAGGGAGAGGCTAAGTCTAGCTCTTCCCTTCCAGTCTGCCCCCTGTGGAAGCCAGCAGGGGGACTCCTGGGAGGCTCTGAGGGGGAAGGGAGGGAGTCTTTCCTGGCTGGGGCTGGTTTCGCCTTTGTGGCTTGTGAAGAAGTGTTCTCAGACGCTTGCTTCAGTCACTACACCTTCAAAAGGATGTGGCCTTGTCCTGACCCCTTCTGCTTTTGACTTTGAGACTGTTTCACGGTGCGGCCCAGGCTGGCCTGGGGATGGGGGTCCTCGCCTCTGCCTCTCCAGTGCTGGGGTTCTAGGTGTGTGCCACTCTGCCTGGCTTTGTGATGGCTTCTTGTATCTCTCTAAAGGTAAGAGCTCCCAAAACGATGCTGTTGCCATGTTCAAAACAATCAGCAAAATCTCTCAATGCTATTGATTAAATACGCAGTTCCCGTTTCCATTTGTCTCACAAATATTTGTTTTTACAATTTGTTTATTTAAATCAAAACCCAAGTCATTTTAATGGGTGGTTTAATTGTAATTGGTTAATAAGCCCTGTTAATCTCTTTTGACTGTGTCTCTTGGGCTGATAAGAAAAGCCACACCACACAAGCCTGACAACCTGAGATTAATTCCCAGGACCCAGAGTGGAAAGAGAACCAAGTGTCAGGAGTCGTCCTCTGACCCCACAGATACACCACGGCAGCCATGCACACATGTGCGCGCGCGCGCGCGCACACACACACACACACACACACACACACACACACACAATAACAAAATCAGATGAAAAGTTTCAGTTTGATCCAGGTAATAATCAAAGATGGGTAACCTTGTCCAAAAATGAGATCACACAGGACAGAGACTCTACGGTTAGCGAGAACTGCAGTCTGGAGGATTCGTTAAACAACAGCATGGGCAGTCATCAAAAATGCAGTCAGTGGGGATCAATCAAATGCAAGTCATCAAAAATGCAGTCAGTGGGGATCAATCTTAATGGTCGGTAACCCAGTTCCTTCTGTAAATAACTTGTGCAAGAGAAAAGGAAATCACCTATAGACGAACAGAAACTCAAAATTCACAGTGTGTGAGATCAAACTCTACACACTCACCTCGTGTGTGCAAGCTGAAAAGTGGATTTCAAAGGCGGGAGAAGGAGGAGTAGCAGGTTTTTTTTTTTTTTTTTTTTTTTTTTTTTTTTTTTTTGCTAAAGGCTGGGGATGGGCGCAGAGCGAGAGTGGGTACCGAGTCCCCAGCGGCCGGGAAGTGCAAAGTGGGATGAGTAATAGCAAAATCATCCCTTCGCAAGAGGGAGGTCTGCTGTGGTATGGCACAGCAGGGTGATGGCAGCTCATGACAAGGTCTTACATATTTTCATAAAGCTAGAAAAGAGGGCTGGTGTGGTGGCCCATGCTTGTTGTCCAACCACTTGAGGAAGTGAGGCCTTGTTTTGAAAAACAAACAAATAGAAAAAAAACAGTCTAAGCCGGGTGGTGGTGGCGGCGGCGGCGGTGGCGCACGCCTTTAATCCCAGCACTCGGGAGGCAGAGCCAGGCGGATCTCTGTGAGGTCGAGGCCAGCCCGGTCTACAGTGCGAGATCCAGGACAGGCACCAAAACTACAGAGAGAAACCCTGTCTTGAACCCGCACCCCCCTCAAAAAAGAAAAAGAAAAACCAGTCTAATAACAAAATCTAAAAGTGAGGTTTCCCTGTGAAGGAAGGGTAAGTATTTTGGAAGGTGGCGATGCCTTGATTTGGTCACTGTGTGTAGTAGAAGCAGAGTATGGTCAGTACATGTGGATACACATAAGTATACACAGCATGTATGTATACACAATCTTATCCTTTTTTTTAAAAAAAAGGATTATTTGATTAAAAAGCAAATCACAAGCTCGGTAGAGTGGTGCATGCCTGCAATCCTAGCACAGGGTTGAACTGTTCCTCCACCTCTGCTCTGTGATGTGGATGTGCTCGTGGCCATCAGAAGTAACGCTGAAAGTATTCCTCAGAAGTCGGTAGGACAGCTCATCCAGTAAGTGTACTTGCTGACAAGCCTGACCTCCGGAGTCCAATCCCCAGGAGCCACACTGTGGGGAGGGAGAACTGGTTCCCACAAGTTGTTCTCTGACCTTCAAATGTGGGCTGTGGCATGTGACTCCCATGAATGAATGAATGAATGAATGAGTGAATGAATGAGTGAATGAATGAATGAATAAGTAAATGGTTTAAAAGTATTCTTCAAAATAAAACCAAAAGGAATCCCCAAGCAAATACCCGTGTATCTATTCTGTTCTTTTATTTTATCGAAACCAAGAAGGAGCAGGGTAAGTCCTCCAAATGTGTGAAATTTAAATATCAACTGATGTTCCAAATCTCCACAGCCAGCCCTACCTATTTCAGTATACATCATCTCCCTTGATCCTCAGGATAACCAAGTGTTATTCTCCCATGTTCTCATAAGGAAGTCCTGTGTTCAGTCTCCTGTCTCCGTCTCTGGGCTCCGAACAGAAGGAGATGGCCCAGCACAGAAACAGAAATCCTACCTAGGCTCTGCTCCTGGCTTTCTCCGCCACCATCAGATGGGGCTTGTCCTGCTCAACCTCTGGGCTTTGGTTTTCCGAAACTGTACAAGGAGGATGAGTAATAATTGGCTTTCCTTGGCCCTACAAACATTTCTAGAGGTGGGCACTGGGCTGGAGCAGCCAGGAAAGCAGGATGGGGCTGTCCCAGCTTGTCCAGTTCTATCTAAGGCTCGTTCTCTGGTCCAAGCTCCCCAGGACTCCTGGCCGGCCCCCTTGTTCCCTAACAGTCATCTCATGCTAGAACCCCCGCAGAAGTCCTGCGGCCACCTTTGCTCCCTCAGTCTTGCCGTGCGGCATCAGGACCACTGTCCCTGTCTGTGATGAGGCAAGGCACATCCTCTCAGATCCCTCCAGGGGCTCCATGCTGTTCACAGACTCCCTTACCTTAGCCCCTTCCCCCTCATCCACTACACTTCAGCAATACTCCAGATGTTTGCAAACACAGCCCTCTGCACACGCGCTGTTCCCTGCGGCGTCTAGAACATTATCTAACCAGCCCAACAGCTGCTTTATTTCCTTCAGTTTCATCTCCTCCGAGACTCCCAAGTCTCCCCCGCCCCCCTCGCAAAGTGATAGAACTTAGCTGACTATGACAAGGTGTTAGGAATGGACCCCCCACCACACACACACACACACACACACACACACACACACACACACACACACACACACACACACATTTCCACTTCATTACATTCGATCCAGCACAAGACTGGGAAATCACCTTGATTTAGTCGCTTATCTATCTGCTGCTTCTGCAGTGGGCCCTAGGTCTAAGGAGAGTCATGACCTTGTATCTGTAGGATGATAGCCCAGAGGTCACTGGCTCAGAGTAGTCTGCCTTGAACCGACTTCTGGCTTTGTCCTTTCCTAGCCCAGTGAGCTTGACGGTGTCCCTTAATGTCACTGAGCTTCATTTTCTCCATCTATTCATATGTCCCAGGGACAAGAGCAGCAGCTACTACCTTCCAGGACTGAGCTGAGGGAGAGATGCCTGGCATACTGTGACATTCAAAGTACCTTGGCTGGTACTGTCCACGCCTCTGTTTCCAGGGCCTGGAACACAATGCAGCGGCACACAGACTCTTGGTAAATATTTGTTGAATAAACTGTAATATGTGATAAGGACACTGGGAGAGATAAACCGGGGGTAGAGGTGGGTCAGGGAAGGTGTTGTTGGCCAAGCTGGGGCCTGAGGAGACTCAAAGGCTGAGGAAGAGGTGGTGGAGTCGCCTAGGCAGGAAAGGGAAGGGTGTGTCCTGATGGGGGCATAGCATCAGGCGCTCTGAGCAGGCACCGCATGGTCTCTACACTGTGTGGGTCAGAGCTGAGACCACAGGCAGAGAGCAGAGCAAACAGGCTGCGGCCAGGCCCTGCTCTGAAGGGAGAGGCCTCGTCCCAGGCTGTGAGGACATAGTGTTCCCAAGTGACTGTCTTGGACAGATGCAGCCCAGAAAGGAGCAGGAGGCTGCCAGGGTGAGGCCAGTCGCCTTCTGCAGACTGAACTCTGGGTCGTCATCTCTGCCGACTATTCATTTGTTGGTAATGTCTGTCACCTAGAGAGACTATGCACAGATTTAGTAACCTCTAGCTCCAGAGCAAGGGTTCCCTCTATAAATGTTTTCTGGGATAGGGACCATGAATGCAAAGGCCAGCAAGCAAGTCTTCAGAAATGCCTGGGAGATAGACAGGGACCTCATGGTCACGTGTGGTGCCAGGTACTCTGGAGACTTGAACTTAGGGCCAGACTGGACAATATAGCTAAAAGAGGAGAGGGAAGGGAAGGGGGGCAGAGGCAGGAAAGATGGCTCAGTTGGGAAAGTATTAACTGTCAAAGCATGGGAACCTGAGTTTAGATTCCTAGCATCCATGAGTCTACTTGCCCACTCCCCCACGTCATGTGACCACTTGCTTACTCCATCAAATCATGTGACTCACTTCCAGAGGAAGGGAAGGCAGTACCCAAGAGAGGAAGATGATGTCATGTGGGCTATAACCTGGCCACCGTGCTCTTCAGCTGTGATTCCTTTCAGGTGTCAGGTGGCCTCTGAGGCTGGCTTCTCTGAGCCCATCACCCCTGCTAAGCTCAAACAGAACAGGTCCACCCACATCAAGGGCTTCCCAGGAGACATCCAAACAGTCCTCTGAAGCATTCAAGGTCACCCCCAACAAAGAAGTCTGAGAAATGGTCCTAACCAAAGAGGCTCCATGTTCAATGCTGCCTGCCCTCCTAGACAGAGTCCTTGACAGGAAAATGTCGTGTGGGAAAATGGATGAAATCAGAACAAAGCATGTTGAGATGCAAGTTTGCATTCTTTGCCATTTGCATTTGTGGTGCTGGGGGTCTGACCCAGGACCCTTACCCGCTAGATGAGTGCTCTGCCCCTGACCTGTATCACATTTTCTTAGTTTTGACAGATTACAGTTGAGAGGCAGGATGTTAAGGAAAGAGATCACTGGCCAAGGGATCAAAGAGAGTCCTATGTGCTGGTTTTGGCAGTGTGTGTGTGTGTGTGTGTGTGTGTGTGTGTGTGTGTGTATGTGTGTGTGTGTATGTGGTTTATATGTGTGGTGTATATGTGTTGTGTGTCTATAGTGTATGTGTGTATGTGCATATGTGTGTGTTGTATATGTGTGCATATGTGTGTGTGGTTTATATGTGTGTGCATGTGGTTTATATGTGTGGTGTATATGTGTGTGTGTGTGTGTGTGTGTGTGTGTGTGTGTGTGTGTGTTGTGTGTGTATGTGTGTGTGTATGTGGTTTATATGTGTGGTGTATATGTGTGTATGTGTGTGTGTTGTGTGTGTGTATGTGTGTGTATGCACTCTTGGTCACAAGGAGAGGCCAGAGGAAGATGTTGGGTGTGTTCCTCCATCACTCTCTACCACTCTCTACCTCATTCCCTTGGTATAGTGTCTCACTAAATCTGGAGTCAGGCTGTCAGCCAGCAAACCCCAGTGAGCTTCCTGTCTCTGTTCCTGGTGCTGGGGCTACAAGAATGTGCAGCCACACCCAGCTTCTTACATGAATTCCAGGGATTCAAACTCAGGTCCTCTCGCTTGCATAGGAAGTGACGTTATCCTCTGAGCCATCTCCTCATTCTGCTGTCTTTGCCACTTTTCAACAAATAGGAAAGAATTCCACAATCAGCTGATTTTTAAAAATGTGGGCACCAGGCACAGTTCTAAGCTCCTTAACACAGGCCAACTCATTCAATCCTCCCAGGAGCTCTATGAGGTCACTCCACTGACCCCCTTTTTTAGATAAGGAAACAGAGGCATAGAGAAGCTAAGTAACTTTCTGATCCTCCATTTGTGGTAGAATCACTGCCAAGATGCAGATATTTCTTGTAAAGACCTTTGTAGATTGTGAGTGAAGTCCTGAGTCAATGTGTATTGTTGACATGTGCATGGCCATCTTAAGGACCCCAGTGCCTCAGACCCATGGGAGTGGCAAAGCCTTCCCTGGGTTAGGTCCAGAAGGACAGAAAGCCTTCCTCAGGTCCAAATGCAAATATTGACAGCATGCAGAAAATGCCCACCATAGCTCTCTCCCCTGAAGAGCAGGTCTGAAGACTTCTCCCCAATAGAGACTGCTCCTACCAAGATCAGCTAATCCTGTCTCCTCGATCCAGCTGTATGTCATAAACCAGGCCTCCTCATCTATCTGACGTAATAATCCCACCTCCCTGCTCAGCAGTACATACTGATGATGCTGAGCTTCCAGAGTGCTGCGGCTTCTCCATTAGAGAGCCCAGACCACACAGTAATAGCTCTTCTGTGTCTGTGTGTCTGTACTTTCTTCATTCCCTCACTTCCCCAGTTAGGGCAGTCCTTGAAGCCATGCTAGATCATGGCAGACCCTTATAGGAAAGATGACAATGGAGCTGAGCCCTGGGACACCAAAGTGAAAGCTAAGGCCAGGATTCAGGATAAGGAGTGGATGGCGACTGCATTTTGTTTGACTATAGCATTCAAAAGGAGTCCACCCTTCATCTTGTGTTGAGACCTAGAGGTGGGGCTAAGAAAAGGAAGGTGTCTTATATTGCTCCCAAGCACAAGCTTAAGAGAAACAAGGTTAAGCTGGCTGTTCTGAACACTATCTAGTGTCAATGGAAACACTTGTCATCTTGGTCGAGATAACCGTGGTGCTTTCACAGACAGCCACTTGGACAGACATTACTATGGCAAGTGTTGTCTGACTGATAATTGCATATGAATTAATAAAAGGACAGGAACTGGTGTGAGAGAGAGATAGACAGACAGAGAGAAAGAAGATAAGTCGTGTGTGTGTGTGTGTGTGTGTGTGTGTGTGTGTGTGTGTGTGTGTGTCTGAACACACGAAGTGCTGGCTGCTGTTCAAATCCAGGCAGCTTGATGGCTTGGTGGAGCTGAGATGCATGCTCCTCACACTGAATCTTTCCTTTGAGGGAGCATTCATGTGACCAAGACAGAGGACAGATCCAGAGAGTAAGGAGATAAGGGATAGGAGTGCCAGGAGCCCAGTATGGTGGAAGGCAAGGGCACAGTCCCACTCAGTTTCTGCTCAGGGAGCTAGTGGCCAATAGCTGTGGGAGTAAGGGACAGCCCAGATGCAGGTTGGCTATGGTTTCCTGACTAGGTGGCTGGGTGGCCCTTTTTGCTCATAGGCTTGGCTTAGGAGATTTGAAAGGAGTGGGTAGGGAGGATGACGACACCTTTGTTTTCCTTCTTTCCTATTCTTCCCCTTTCCCCCCCTGTCCTCCCATCCCCACCCCATCTCTCTATTCCCAGGGTCTCACAAAGCACAGCCTTGAACTCCTGCTCCACCTGTCTCTCTGCTGAGACTACAGGCATCCGCCACCATGCTTCTCTGTTTGAGCTCCATCTTCTATGCCTAACAGAGGCCTCTGGCTCTGCCACTCACCGACGGTGTGACTTAATCTCTCTGGGGGAAGTGGGGAACATTAGTACCCTTCATGGGCTTGTTGCCAGGGTGAATTAGGATTTCGTATATGAGAAGTGCTCCGAATAAAGTTTGGCCCATAACAGGTCCAGTAAACATTGCATCATGACCGATTTTGAATTCCTTATCTAATGTGGGTTTAGTAATAGGAATAACTAGTTGAAATCCAACCTGCCTCAAGGCAGGCCTGTCTTATCAATGGGGTACCATCTTGTGGTTATTACACCCATGAGGACTGCCATTTTTCTGATTTGCATTATGGGACATTGGTGCTATCTTGTATGGTGTGTGTGTGTGTGTGTGTAGCCAAGGAATTCTTGGTCCTCCTGTCCCTGTCTCCTGAGGGCCAAGACCACAGGCTTGTACCATCACATTTGGTTTGATTGGCAACTCCTTGATCCCATGTGCAAAGTGCCTGCCCAGTACACCTGTGCACAGAGGGGACAGAGGATCTGCAGCTCTCAGCCTGTTCTTCACTGAGCCTGGGGAAGGTTCAGGGCCAAGGCTACAGTTGCCGGGAAGATGAACCTGGAAGCATGTCACATGCCCAAGCGTGAGATTTAGAAGAGGAGCCCCTGTGTAGCAGCAGAATTGAGAACCTAAGTGTGAGAGCTCAGACCAGAAGGGCATAAGTCTCTATGTCCAAGTGAAGGAGATGGGATTCTGTGGACAAGCTGGAAGATAGCCCAGATTTTCTGGGTCGCTGCCACTCCCTGTCATTCTGTCACCCTCCAGGAAGGGGCATTATAGGGAAGAGGAAGACCTTGAGCCCTCATAAGCCTTGCTCTGCATGCTGGTGTGGACCTGACTATATACCCTTCATCGTAACTGGAAGAGGTGGGTAAAATGATTGTCCCGTTTTAGAGAAAAGAAAGCAAAAGCCAGACAATGCCAGGTGCCCACCCACACATGTCATCAGGTGGTTGCACCATCCCCCAGCTGTTGGGAGTTGCAGGGTAATGACCCAAGGCTGCCCCTGTTCCTGGGGTGGCCAACAGCCAAGCCTGGCTGATGGGGACATTATAAAAGGCCTGGCCCCTCTATCAAGGGAGGACAGCTCTGTGTATTCGTGCACCACGGGAGATCGTCCCATGAATCAGGCCAAGCCCAGGCTTCACCCACAGTCATCACATCCTTGTCCATCCTTATCTTCCTTCCACATCTGCCTTCCTTGCTGACGTCTCCCAAAGTGATTCCCGCCAGTGTCATGAGCCTGTCTCAGACAGACCGGCCTGTATGCTGCAGACAGCTACTCTAGAGCTGGGTGGGTCTGCACCCTAGCAGGCCAGGCTCCTGACTCGTTCTCTCTGTCAGAGCAGGGGACAGGAGTTGCTCTCACCGATGGCTGCAGGGCTCTGTCCCAAACAGGCAGGCTAGGATTATGCGATCAGGGGCGTAGCCCATGCCCACCAGGTCCTCTCGAGGCACTTGTGAGAAGATGTTGGTGGCCTGCAGGATATACCACTCAGTCACGGCCTGGGTGGCACTGGTGAAGTTCCGGAAGGTACACACAGTCCCGTTGACGCTGCACTGTGGAAGGGAAGAGAGGTTCCTGAAGACACAAAGGCCACTGCTCTGAGGAACCCAGGAGGGGAGGGCAGCATCATATCAGCTGCCCTGTGGCTTCACCCTGGTGGTGGGAAATGTGTTAGAATCCTAACTCATGCATGCTCAGGGGCCATTACCTCAAGCAACTCCAGGCTGGTCATACACAGCCCCCACTGGTACTCTCAGGCATGAACACAGGACACATGCACAGGTACATAGCACATATAGAGACACAAAAGAACACATTCAGACACACATGGGTAAACACACACACACACACCCGAACACACATGGGTACAAACACATATGGGCATGCAAACACACACACTCAGATGTACAAACACACACAAGCACACACATTCAGATACACAAACACACTTGAATACACAGACAGACAAACGTACATAAATACATACACATACACACTCAAATACATATGAGTACACACACAAAGACACACAAACACACATGGTCACACACAGAGACACACTCTCAGACACACAGACACACAAGAGACACACAGGCACACACGTAGACACAGACACACACACATACACTCAAATTCACACACTCAGATGTACAGGGACACACGGGACACACACACAGAGACACACATGGACACAGAGCTCACCCTAAGAGCTTGGGCTGAATTTTCAGCTAGGTAACTCTAGTGTGGCATCCACTCCCAGGCTCCAGGCCATTTGCTGGTTTGAGGGGGGGCTTTGGAGGCTGCGACCCTGTGCCAGTGCAAGGCAGACACAGTTACCCCTCTGAGGGTCAGAGTAACCAGGGAAGCTGTTGACAGTGCAGGCCTCTGGGCCCTGAACTGCATCCTTGCGCTCTCCAGGGATGAGGCCTGGATCATGGTCTAGCTTGTGACAGAGCTCTGGGAGATCCCAGATGAGTTTTTCTCCCACCGGAGCCATAGGAGCCGGCGGCGGCACCCCAGCCTCAGTGTGGCAGCGGATTTTTGGCCTCTGTATCCTCCCTGCTCAAGTCCTTGTGAAACCACTGCCAGCTCCCAAGCACGTGATCCAGGACTGGCCAATCACTGGAGGCTGGCTGAAGCCCACTGTGATAATTTTAGGGGTGTGATGTGACCAGGAGAGTTAGCCCAAGGCCTTTGACTGCTTTATTGAGAAAGAGGAACTGTGGGGAGAGATGGCTGAGAAGAGAAGGCAAGGCCTGAGCTGAGATGGAGGGTGATGAGTCCTCACGAAAGCACCCGAGTGCCTGAACCCAGATGGATTCTGGATCTCTTTGTTACAGGTGCCAGTGGCTCCCTGCTTTGCATAAACGAGTTTGAACTGGGTCACTCCCCTCCAAGTGTCTCACCAACACACCAGCCAGTTCTCCTTTTTAAGAAGTGCTTGCGGCGCACGCCTTTAATCCCAGCACTCGGGAGGCAGAGCCAGGCGGATCTTTGTGAGTTCGAGGCCAGACTGGTCTACAGAGCGAGATCCAGGAAAGGCACAAAGCTACACAGAGAAACCCTGTCTCAAAAAACCAAAAAAAAGAAAAAAAAAAAAAAAAGAAGTGCTTGCAAGGCTCAGGGAATCGTAAAGTGCTTGTAGCCCCAGCAGGGAAACCTGAGTCAGATCCTCAGAACTCACATAAAAAACCCAGGTGAGGGCTGGAGAGCGGGCTCAGAGGTTAAGAACGCTTGCTCTTCCAGAGGATCTAGGTTTGAGTCCCAGAACCACATGGTGGCTCACAACCATCTATACCTCCAGTTCCAGGGGATCCAATTCTCTCTTCCGACCTCCATAGGCACCAGGCACGTACATAGTGCATAGCCATGCAAGCAAAACACTCATACACGTAAGATAAAATAAATTGAAAAATAATTTAAAATACAGTGAAATGGTGTTTGTAATCTCAGAACTGGGGAGGTGGAGACGGGCAGATTCCTCAGGCTTGCTGGTCAGTCAGCCTTGCCTAAGGAGAAATGACATCTGGGATTGTCCTCTGACCCACCTCTGACAGGTACACGTGCAAATACACCCGCATACCCCCTCAACCCTTTGCAGATGTACAAAACAGGTACTGGGTCCTCTCAGCAAACCTTAGATTATTAGTGAAAATAGATTGTCACCAGTCTCTCTGGACGGCCATGGCCTGTGCTTGGGGAACTTACCAGCCTCATGGCCACCTTGCACCCCTGGGCCTTGCAGGTGCTTCCTGGGACTGGACTGCTGCTATTGTGGCTGTCCCCAAACAGGTCGAGGACCACTGTGTGGTTAGGGTTCCGTTCATCAATAAGGACCAGGGGTGTGTGGTTCCAGATGGCAAAGTTCAGGGTCCTGGTGGTGTTGGTGTGACTGGGCTCCGGAGCCAGAATCTTGTCCAAGACAGTCTCCATCAGTTCATCCAGGTCCTTTAGCAAGTGCTTGACCTTGGAGTACCTAAGTGGGGAGAGGTCAGGTCAGGTGGGCAAGGGGCTACCACAGAAAGAGCATGCAGAGGCTGGGGTGTTCTTGTGCCCCAACATGTAAGAACTTGCCACCAAAGCAGGGCCTGGTGATGCATACCTATAATCCCAGTTATTCTGGAGACTGAGGCAGGAGGAGTATAAATTTAAGCCCAGTCTGGGCAAGGTAATGAGATTATGCCTCGTTCCTTATTTCTTAAAGGGTTAGAGGTGTATCCTAGTGATGGAGTGCCTGCCTGCATGCATGATGCCCTGGGTTCAACTCAGACATCACCTCTCTCCCATTGCATTTCTCTCCTTCCCAGGGGCTCCATGTTGGAAGTGTAACCAGGCCCTGTGGAAGGGATGGATCCACAGAACAGAGTGCCCACTTGGTCACCCATGCCCAGGGCACACATACATCAGGGCCGGGTGGGCCAGCCTTGGTGAAAGGGCTTTTCCTGCAGGAGGCCGATTAAGCCCAAGATGAGGAAATGAACGGCCAGAGCTCTGCAACTCAGCTCTGTCCACAGCACCAAGCTCCTCAGGAGCACACAGGAGGAGAGGAGGGTGGGGGTCTCATGGGCGGTGGTGTTATCCCAGGGCAGATGTCCACAGCTGCCTCTCACAATAAGTCTCTGCATGGGTTCTGGGTTCAAATCCTGTCATATCACTTAAAACTTGTATGGCCTCGGACAGCTTAGCCCTCTGAAGCTCAGTTTTCTCATTTAGAAAACAGAGGAAGGGGTAAGAAAGGGTCCCTCAGAGAGAGTTGCTGTGGTTATTAATGTTATTGTACTAGTAATCTCTCTCTCTCTCTCTCTCTCTCTCTCTCTCTCTCTCTCTCTCTCTCTCTCTGTGTGTGTGTGTGTGTGTGTGTGTGTGTGTGTGTGTTTGTGTGTGTGTACTACTTGTAGGATGTGCCCATGGAGGCCAGAAGAGGGCATTGGGTTCCCTGGGGCTGGAATTATACTCAGTGTGAGCACCCACAGTGGGTGCTGGGACAGAGCTTGGGTCCACTGCAAGCTTTCTTAACCACTGCGCCATCTCCCTAGTCTCTGCTGTTTTTAGACAAGGTCTCACTTGTAGTCCAGGCTTGCCCCGACTTCAGGATCTTCCTGCGTCGGCCTCCTAGGTACTGGGATTGCAGGTTGTGCTACTAGGGGCAGGTGGTTAATGCCGGGGGCTCTCTTAAGGTGTCCCAAGGGCTCGAGCAGAGGAACCCCTATTAAAAAGATGGGCCTTCTAGGGCCTGGGGCAATGGCTCAGCCATTAAGGTGCTTAGCATGAGGACCTGAGTTCAGTTCCCAGCACCCATGTAAACAGACGGGCTGAGGAGGCAGGCAGATTCCCTGGAGCTTGCTGGCCAGCCATGGGGTCCAGTGCCACTGTAAAACCCTGTCTCAAAACACAATGGGTGCTGTTCCCTGAGAAATGACCCCTAGGCTGACCCCTGGTCTCCACACACATGAATGAAAGCACACACAAATACAAAAGCCAAAGGAACTTGTGAGGATTGGGAAGGTAACCGCAAGGTGTGAACTCCCTTCTAGAACTTTCCTTTGGACAAGAATGTCCTCTATCACTCCATTCTTGAATTTGCCAGACTGTTTTACCCCTGGGCCTTGGAACACACCATGTCCACAACCTGAGCAGTGCCTCCATCCCTCCCGGCTAACTTCTCCTCACGCCTCGAGACAGTTTTTACTGACTGGCCACCTGTCCCCTCAGTCCTGATTGGATGGGGGTCTATTCGTCATCACACCCTGAAGCCTTCTCACTGTGTAAGAGACAGCATGGCAGAATGGTTAAAGCGTGGCCCTTCTGAAGTTAGACCAGGCCTGGGTCCAAGTTCTAGGTTTCTCACCCTGAGTGGTTGAACAGATGCGCGCACCCCTCTGAATCTGTATTTCCTCATCCGTGAACTGGGCTTGCTCCAGGAATGCCCCTCTCCAGACGGGCGGTACATGAAAGAATTGTACCCCTTCCTCTAAGCGTAATCTGTCCAAGCACTGGGGGAGTGGGGTGAGTTTCTGATCATCAAAGTCATAACTCAATATTTTTGGAAAAGTCTTTTAAAATTTAGGGCTTGAAATTAAAAATTTGTTATTTTATTTTATTTTATTTTTATGAGTATTTTCCCTGCATGTATGTATGTGTATCGCACACTTGCTAGTGCCCATGGCAGTCAGAAGAGGGGTTCAGGTTCCCTGGAACTGGAGTTATAGATAGTTGTGAGCTGCGTGTGGGTGCTGGGAGCTGAACCTGGGTCCTCTGGAAAAGCAGCCAGTGCTTTTAACCACTGAGCTGTCTCTCCAGCCTCCAAGGTATCTTTTTTTTTTCATTTTTAATCATTTTTATGTTTATGGGCATTTTTGCCTGTATATATATGTCTGTGCACCGTGTGCATGTCTGGTGCCCAAAGAGGCCAGAAGAGGGCACTGGATCCCTGGAGCTGGAGTTACAGGCCATTGTGAGCTGTCATGTGGGTGCTGGGATTTGAACACAGGTCCTCTGGAAGAGTAGCTGGTGCTCTAACTGATGAGACATTTCTCCAACTCCAATATGGAAAAAATCTTAATGGTTCTTTCCTCTGACAGGTTATACAGAGGGCAGTGGCTTGGATCTGTTCATTGCTAAAATTGCTAGCATGTGGAACAGTGTCTGGCACACAGTAGATGCTCAGTAAACACAAATTCAATATATCGATGCAGCATTGCTGAAAGCAGGAAGTGCCATTTATATAGTGTATGTGATCTTGTTTTTGAAACAGGTTCTGGCTGTACAGCCCAGGTTGGCCTGGAATTCATCATCCTGCCTCAGCCTCTGAATGCTGGGGTTATAGAGGCTGCCTATGCTCCAGGAGATGGTTCTGCACCCATGAACATACAGACAGACAGGGCTAAGTGGACTTAGTGGGCTTTAAAAAACAGAGGAGAGAGAGAGAGAGAGAGAGAGAGAGAGAGAGAGAGAGAGAGAGAGAGAGAACGAAGTTGGGAGAAAAAAGGGGGGGATAAGGGAGGAACTGGAGGGGAGGGATTTTATCCAAATACATTATATGCACAAATGGATATTAAATAAACAACTTTTAAAAAGAAGATGGACAGTGCCCAAGGCACAACACCGGAGGCTGACCTTTGCTCCACTCCAAAGTTACTTAGATCTAGACATTCTGTGGCTCTCTCTCTCTTTTTTTTTTTTTTTTTTTTTTGGTTTTTCGAGACAGGGTTTCTCTGTGTAGCTTTGCGCCTTTCCTGGAACTCACTTGGTAGCCCAGGCTGGCCTCGAACTCACAGAGATCCGCCTGGCTCTGCCTCCCCAGTGCTGGGATTAAAGGCGTGCGCCACCACCGTCCGGCTCTGTGGCTCTCTTTAAGCCGAGGAAGCTTAGGATTTTTTAAGTCTTATATGTTGCAAAAGTGAAAGCAAAAAGGGGAAGAAAGGAAAGAAAAAAGAAGGAACAAAACAGAAAGACTGTGGAGAGAAAAGGAGACATGGGAACGTAGGGAGGGAGGAGGGAAAAGAGGGAGGAGAGGAGCCAGCTTTGCTCCGGGAACCACCTACTGGAAGGGGCTGGAATTGCAGACGGTGACCGCCGGGAAGTTCATGGTCTTGAAGCCCATGGAGAGCGAGACGCTGACCTCCCAGCTCAGGTAGGTCTGGATGAAGACGCCCCACTGCCAGCACACGAGGCAGGCGAAGAGCAGCGTGAGCAGGAACCACATGGCCTTCTTCTTGGGCCCTTCGCAGATGATGCGTTTGGGGCCGTGCGTGTTGGTGTTGTTGCAGTACCAGACCAGCAGCTCCTTGTAGGTGTAGCCCGGGCCCTTCTGCAACCGGTGCAGGCACTTCAGCAGGTACTTCTTCACTGGCATGGTGGCACCTGCTGGCACATGGGATGACATCAGACAAGACACCGTTGAGGAGGTCACAGGACGGAGACTGGTTGCAGAGCCCAGCCCCCGCTCCATCCCTCCTTTGGCCACCCACCGTCTACCCTTCCACCTATCTATCCATCAAACAGAAACGTGCTTATTGAGTGACTGCAGCATAACTCAACTAGTGTCTCTGGATTCGGTGATGAGCAAATCAGACAAGATGTCTATGCCCTGCACGTCCCTCCCCCAGCCCATGCTGGCCTTGAACTTACCTCTATCCCCCTGTCTCTGCCTCCTGCCAGCTCTGGGATTACAGGCATCACTACCATGCCCATCCTAGTGACTGAGGTTTTTCAACCCCCAGGGAATGCCCAGCATAGTAGACCAGTTGCTAGATTTCTCAGCTCAGGTTTCCCAGGCATCTTGACATACCTAATTCTTTCATTTCATTAAAAAATTCTCTCTTAAAATTTTTATTTGATTTATTGTGTGTTCGAGTATGCCAGTGCATGCTGGTGACAACCTTCAGGAGTCTGTTTTCCCTTCTACCATGTGAGTCCTGGAGATTGAAGTCAGGCCATCAGGTTCAGTAGCATTTGCCTTACTCTCCTCCCTCCCCCCCCCTCTCTCCCCAGAGGAGCTGAGTTTGAAGCCCTATGCATGCTAGGCAAATGCTCTGTCTCTGACCTCCACCCCAAGCCCTGTCACAGCTAACTTATGGAATTGATGAGAAGGTGAAAAACATGTGCGAAGTCCAGAGCCCGGCCACCCTAAATGAGGCGTTAACGGGACAGGGCTGGTGCTGATAAAATAAGCCAGCAGAAATGCTGAGCTTCCAAATGGGACCAGCACAAAGATTGAGGCTCTGCACCCTGAGATCCTAGAGGCGTGAGAGGATGATGGTTAAAAAGAAGGTCTCTGAGTAGGCAAGGTGGTGCCATCTTGTAATCTCATCATTTGGGAAGCTGAGTCAGAAGGATTGCCATGAGTCCCAGGCCAGCTTGGGCTACAGAATGAGACCCTGCTTCATAGAAAGCAAGGGCTTGGGGTGTAGCTCAATGGTGAAGCACTCACTTGTGGGAGGCTTTGGACTCCAGAAAGAGGGAGAGAAGAAGGAGGGTGAGGAAGAAAGGAAGGGAAGGAGGGAAGGAGGGAAGGAGGGAGGGAAGCAGGGAAGAAGGAAGGGATGAGGAGGGAGGGAGAGAGGGAGGGTGAGAGAGAGAGATAGGAATATGAGATCTTGAGGTCCTATCCCCAATACTATAAAATATGAAAATATAAAAAGAAAATGTAGCTCAGTTGGCATAGTGCTTGCCTAGCATGCACAAAGCCCTGGGTTTGAGACCCAGCACCACACAAACGGTGTATGTGATGTACACCTACAACCCCAGCAGAAGGATCAAAGTCATTCCCAGCTACATAGTGAGTTCAAAGCCAGCTTGACTATAGGAAATCCTGTCTCAAAACACAAAAAAGTGAGATTTGATTGTCATCCACATTTTATATGTATGTAACTTGCCCATAAGTTGGGGATTCCCAGGGGGGCAAGAAAGATGGTTCATTTCGATAATCACCAACTGCAGAGGGCCAAGCTCAGTACCTGGCTGCATGGGGGGAGGCATTAGGTCTTAGATTTGGAAAGAATACTCCAGCAGCTCCACAGATCAGGTTGGAATGGAGTGGGTGGTCTTAGAGCACTGGGTGGTAGCTGTGGGTCAGGAAAGACTCTTCGGCCTTTCTAGACCTGTCTCCCAGGGACACAGGAAGCAAGGCTCATGCAGAGATTACTAATAATTGCCACCACGCCTGGTATGAGTGAGCTTCAGGGAATCCCCCTGCCCCCAGCAGTCACCCTAGCCATGGGTTCCTGCTGTCCCAGCTAAGTCCACCTCCAAGGTCAGCAGCAGAGGCTATTCTTCCTCAGAACTATCCTGACTCTGAGCTGGCATGACACTTTCCTGTGAGAGCCACTGCTGGGGACACTGTGGTGGGACATTTGGTACCTGCTGATCCCATCCATATCCCCTCTGCCTTCCCCAACAGTTCAGGGGAACCCTGGCCTCTCCCATGTCACTTAACCTTAGGGAAGTATGTCTTCCCTAGCCATTGTCATGAGCACCACAGAAACTCAATCCTGCCACTTTAGGCTAGAACAACAGAGGAAGAGACCTCAGCTTTAGCTAAGGCTGCTTCTGACATGTAGTTTCTGTCAGTACACAATAGAACAAAATCAGTCTGAGGAGAGCAGAGCCTCAAGTAAGACCAGTAAGATGTCAGCTCAACAGCTGGATCTAGCCATGCCTCAAGCCATCTGTTCGAGGGCTGTGGGACCCAAGATGCTTTTTCTTTTGCGTGCTGATCCAAATTGGGCCTGTCATTTGCAACTATTAGAAGGTTAAGAGAAGGAGTTCATCTCTCTTTACCCGGTGCTACAGTTACTCACTTGGATGGCTCCTTCCTTAAGCTTTCAAGCTCCCTGGGGCAGGGGGAAAGGCAGCAGCTTTCCCCCAGCATTACACCCAGCTCTCCGCTGAACAGCCAAATACAGCATGCCAGGTATCCCTTTCTGCACCGTCCGAGTGTGTCCACACCCAGTCTGGATACAGTGGCACCCTCGTCTTTCCTCCTGTAACAGGAAGGGACCAGAGCGCCAGGGACCTTGCCATCTCTATGGTCTTCATTCTCTGTGGGAATCAAACTCTATGGCCTCCCAAGCCATTGTGGCTATAAGGTGAGCACACACAGACTTCTCCAGCTCTAGCCTCCCTCAGCGGGCCTGTCCTCTGCTCTCCTAATACGTACAGCAGAGGCTGCAAGAGTGTCAGCACACTGTTCCAGCTGCTTTAGATGTCGCTTTCCTCTAATCCATTATTCTTATGACTGGTAAGTGTAAAGAGGATGAGGCTGGTCTGCCTGGCACGCTCCAGCACCCCAAGGCCTCACAGAAACCAGGGTGTTAGTTGCCAACAATGTCTTCGGCAGAAAGAGACAAAGGGCATCTCTTGGGTCCTAATCTTTTCCATTCTCATTTAATCCTTCTGGTTCAGTCAAGGAGAAAGTCGAAGCTCTGTACAGGCCTCTGATCCTCGATAATCTCCTAGCTCAACAGTGGGGCCTCTGGCTCAGAATATAGTCAGATACAGCATCTGGTTAGAATACACAACATTTGTGTTTTCACTGAGCTCGTTTTTTTTTTTTTTTTTTTTTTTTTTTTTTTTATGTCCTGAGGCAACCTTGTAGTTCATGCTGGCCTCATGCTCCCTAGTTAACAGAGGATGGCCTTGAACTCCTGATCCCTCTGCTTCAACCTCCTGTAGTGCTGGGATTCCAGGTGTATACCTGTCTTGTAATTTGTGTTTAATTTAATATAATTTTTTTTTTATGGAGCTGGGGATCAAACCCAGAGCATACAAGGCAAGTGTTTTGTCATCGAGTTGCATCCTTATCTCTTTATCATTATTAATATTATTGTTATAATTATTCATTATTAACAGGCATGCAGACAACACTGCTCACTGGATTTGTTTTTAGTCTTTAAATTACATTTATTTATTTATTTATTTGTGTGTGTGTGTGTGTGTGTGTGTGTGTGTGTGTGTGTGTGTGTGTGAGTGTAGGTCTGATGACAACCTTGGGTATTGTTCCTCTGGCACTGTCCACCCTGTTTTTTTGAGACAGGCGCTCCCCCTGACCTAGAGCTCTCTGAACAGGCTAAGCTGGCTGGCCTCTCTGGCTCCAAGCGTCGGCAGTGTTTGCCTCCCACCACACCTGGTTTTTCATGTGGGTCCTTGGGACTGAACTCTGGTCCTTGTGCAGCAAGCGCTTTACCGACTGAGCAAGCATCCTTTCCGGTCTTTGCTTTTCAAAAGACATGGCCGAGGCAGGTGTGCTGGCTCACATCTGTAATCTCAGCTGCTTTGGAGACTGAAGGAGGAGGCTCTCAAGCTTGAGGCCAGCCTTGGCTACATAGCTAGCTCAAGGCTAGCCTGGGAAATGTAGTAAGACCCGAATCTCTATCAATCAACAAATCAATCAACCAAGGTTTGAAGATGTGGCTTAATACTGCATTGCTTGTCTAGGACTTGCCGTTCTCAGCGCTACAGCCCCTCCCTTGCAAAACGGCACCTTTAAGAAAATGAAGGAGCAAGCAAGTGGAGAGGACACTTGTGATATACAAGTTTGACACAGAACTTGAATGCCAGGTCTATAGATACTCACACAAATCAGAAGGTAAGCAAGGACACGGAGCCAGCTCAGATAACCAACCACTGGTGAATGGATAAAGAAGATGTGGAAGCCGGCCATGGTGGTGAACACATGTAGTCCCTGGATTTGAGAGGCCAAGGCAGAAGGATTGCATATTCGAGGCTAGCACAGTAAGAGTGTACCTCAAAACAGGACCAAGCAAAAATAGAAACTAGTAAACAAAACTCCAACCAAAACAGAAAAATAAAATGCAATGGAACATTATTCATCCATTAAAAAAGAATGTAAACTGGGCTGGAGAGCCAGCTCACAGGTTAAGAGGGCTTGCTGCTTTGCAGGGGACCTGGGTTTGGTTCCCAGCACCCACATGGTGACTCACAAGCACCAGTAACTCCAGGTCCAAGGGATTTGATGCCCTCTTCTGGCCTCCATGGGCACTGTATGCACATGGCACACAGATGTTCCCGCAGGCAAAGCACCCATACACATAGCCAGTGGCTGGGAAGGGCAGTGATGAAGGAGAGGGTGAGGCTGAGAGACTGCTAGCAGGGACCAGGAGGAACAGCTTCCACTTTCTACAGTACAGTGCTAACTAGTTGGTAACAACTAATCGGATATTCAGAATAGGTGTAGAGAGGATGGTGACTTACAGCAGAAAGAAATGATAAATGTTTGAGGTGACAGACGCATCAGTTGTCCTGTTCTGACCATTGCCTGTTGTGTTCATGAATGGAAGTCTCATACACTCACTGACAAAATGCCTGTGACTGTACCAGTTAACATCTGAAAATACCAAAACACC